TTGTTCATATTTTCTTAAGAACTTCACATCTGTGTTCACCAGGGATACTATTCTGTACTTATCTCAAAATATCTTTAGCTGGTTTTAATAATCACATAATACTAGCTTCATAAGACAAGACAGGAAGTGTTTCATTTCCTTTTTTTTTTCTGGAAAAAAACATACAAAATTAATATATTTCTTCCTTAAATATTTGATTCAATTTATTGATGAAGATATCTAGGATTGGAGCTTCTTTTCAAGGAAGATTAGAAACTTCAAATATTTAATTAAAAATAGATATAGGGCTATTGAGGTTATCTATTCTCGTGTGGGACTTTTGTCTTTCAAGGAATTAATCAATTTCATCTAAGTTGTATTTGCTGTCAAAAGGTGCTCATTATTTTTTTTTTTAATTATCCCTACAATGTCTGTTGGAGTTGTAGTGATGTTCTCTTTTTCATTCCTGATACTGGAAATTTGTGTCTAAATAGAGTTTTATCAATTTTATTGATATATCGAAGTTACACTGCTTTTTTTTCTCTATTTTGTCTTTTTAGGCCCACATTTATCTTTATCATTTACTTCTTTGTGAATATTTTGGATTAAATTTGTTCTTTTTATATTTTCATTAAGGCTAACATTTAGATCACTGATTTGGAATATTGTTCTTTTCCAATATAGGTGTTTTTTCCTCTCAGTATTGTTTCATTGTACCTTCACAAGATTTCACATGTCTTTTTAAAATTTTCATTCAATTAAAAATAGGTTTTGTGATTTCTTCTATGACTCATAGTTATTTAGTTACTATGTTTATTTTTGTGGGTTTTTTTTTTTTTTTGAGGTGCTGGGGATTGAAAACCCAGGCATCAGACATTTTAGGCAAACACTCTACCACTGAGATACATCCCTAGGCAAGACTAATGGTTCTTTAGAAGAATAATGCTATTTAATTTCCAACTGCCTAGGGATTTTTTTGGTTTTCCAAATGACTTTGTTATAGATTCTCAGTTTATTTCTGCTGTGAGATTATATATATTTTATATAAACTGATATATATATATACCAGTTATATATATATATATCAGTTTCCAAGACCAGTCTCTATAATAGGCTGGATATGAATTCTGTCCAGTGTCTTGTGTACTGTGAAGCTATTCAGGATAGCAGGAATTCTAATGATTATCTGTCCTTGGTGAGCTCCAGAAATTGTTTTGCATACTAATTTCCAGTAGATCTTTCCTGAGACTGAGGAGGTTTACACTTAAAACATGTTCAGGTCACTCAGCCAAAGATATAGGACACATCCCTGTGTAGAATTCCAAAGCTCATTCTGTTTTCAGTTTCCTCCTCTCTTGATACTCTGCTCCACAAATTCCAGTTAGCCTAGACCCTGCAAAATTCCAAGCATTGTCAAAACTACTGGGCTGTGTTTGTCTAAAAATTATCCCAGATGTTTTCAAAATGTCCACCTCAATTGTTTCCTTTCTTTAGGGATCACAATCCTGTGTTATCTGGTGTTCAATATCTGAAGACCGTTTCTCTTCTTTATTTGGGTAACTTTTCTAGTTCTTTCAGGAGTGAGTGAGAATATTTTCAAACTATATTTTCTCCTTTATGACTTGGGTGAAATAAATTAACTCTTGTTACTTTTGGTTTTTAACCTAAAGTATTGATTTGCATCCCTGACATATTTACACTCTACTTAAGCCAGTACTTTTATCTCTTCTTGGACAAATCCCGTAGCTTTAACATTGAGCGACATCCCCAGTTCTTTTAACAATTATTTGATAATTAAGTCTCTTCCTCCTTTTGGACTACCATCTCCATGTGTGTGTGTTTTATAAAATGTCATAAGACATTATTATTTCATCTTAAAATCAAAACTATTTTGTAATTATCCATTAATATTCCCTTTCCTTTGTCACCCTTTCTGCCAGACTTTCTCTTGTGTTTTTTAAATATTTTTTTAGTTGT